GTTGAACTTGAAAACAAAACAATGTTGAACGGAATTGGTTAGCAGACAGCATTCCAGATTATCGCATAATTGTCTGGTTGTCCAATTTTAGGCCAAATGCGTGCCAACTGACAGTATGACGTACGTGACGGTATGCCGTACATAGGCTATAGATCTAGATGTAGAAATCTAGATCTAATCTAGATATATAGATATAGATTTTTATATCTAGATTATAGATCTAGATCTAGAGATCTAGATCTAGATCTGCCTACATGGATGTGGACAGAAAAGAACGGTAGGCCTGCGCAAATTGCGGCAAATGAAATCTCTAGATCTAGAAAAATCGGCGCTTTTTCGGTAGTTCCCACCCCGCAATTGTTATTCACGGGTTTTGGCACCAAGAGTAGGGGGGTTTCAGGGGGGCTTGCCCCCCCTGACCTAATAAAAATAGGAAGGGGGGTTTCAGGGGGGCATGCTCCCCTGAATTTTATCATAATTTAATGTTTTAAGGTTTGATATCTTAGCTCACCGCGAATCAAACGTATAGATCTATGATCTAGATCTAGATCTAGATCTAGATATCTAGATCATCTAAAGCGAACGTGAAACTAGGCTAGCCTAGGCTAAAGTTGAACTCACTTGCACCAATTTTCCACGTAGGAACTTTGAGGTTTCGAACACTTGACCTTCATCAGAGTAGCTTTTCAATGTCCGACCAGCTGAAAACTGAACATCTTCACAAACCAGAGAACTCTGAAGCTCACAAAAAAATTCGAGAACATTGAAAAATCTAGATTCTAGATCTAGATTTCAAACCAATGATGAAAGCTTAGCCTTAAAAATGGCCATACTTTCCTTTTGTACAGCAAGGGTTTTCCCCACAGGAACTTGATTCTAGACCTAGAATCTAGCCTACAGCTTTCAGCAGATTTTCAATTTTGACTTTTCACATCAAAGTTTCAAAATCTCGTGCGCAACCGGTAAGTCAAGCTGGCGGTTGGTAGGACTGCCAGTTTTTGTTGGCGCTGATTGCTGTCATTTAACACGTCTGCGCAATAAAGCGCAAACGAGACCGGAAAGCCTTTTAAATTTTAAAATTAAAATTAAAAGAGCAAAATATTGCTAAATGACGTAAACTAAAATTGTTGGCAATAAGAGTCAATGCATTTCTGCTACAATAGGCCAAGGCCATTTTCAAGATAAAGCCGTACTTCTGAAACCAGGAGACGAGACAAATAGGCACATTATAGATCTAGTTATAAATCTAATGACTGATACCAGAGAGTATTTAATTATATTTTAGTGTCTCTGCTGCACAGAATTCTACACTTAGTGTAGAATTCTGTGCTCTGCTGATACTTCTATGCCCAGAGGGCTAAAACGTTCATATTGTCCTTGTAGTGTACTTTTTGAAGACAGAAAATTTGAAATTAAAGAAGTGAAAAGCAACAAAATCTCGACGTAATGAATTCCCTATTGTGCGGGATTTCCTCTTTTGTTGATTGTTTGCGTGTTTAATGTTTTATGTTTGTTTTGGTTTGGTCTGTGTTGTTACCAGGTTGTTACTTCGTAATTTAAAAAATTGAACTGTTTTAAATATTAATAATAATATTACAAATTAATGGAAAAAAACACGTTTTTAAATCTAGCCCCAATTGTTATTGAACAAAAATTGATTTAGTTAAGACAAATTGATACAAAATGCTGTTCAAAGTATGGATGACATTGATTTAATTGTTAATAAAGAGAAATTTGAGGATAAGTTGTGCCACGAATTTTTGACGCTCTACAATGTAGTTATTTTTGTGTAGATTGTTTGTTATTGTTGCTCTTGTTGGTTTTGTGTTCTTTCTTCGTTTGTGTATGTGTGT